TGAGACCATACACACATTTCCTTAGTTTCCATAATTTTCCTTCAGTATCAGCTTCAACAGGTGGCTTGAGGTATACATCACGATCTATGTTATGTCCTTGTAAGAATGCTGCCTTAATATCTATGGTGTTTAATTCCCATCCAAAAGCTGATGACAGAGACAACAGAATTTTAAGAGTATCTTTACCTGCAGTCGGTGAATCACTTTGTATATCTGCCGTTTCTTCGAAACCACGAACAACTAGCCTGGCTTTATTTATCAGCTTTCCATCCTGTTGTTTTTCAGTCAACACCCATCTGGTAGACATTTGAGGCTGTCCATGGTCAGTAACCCATCTGGCAGACATTTGAGGCTGTCCATGGTCAGTAACCCATCTGGCAGACATTTGAGGCTGTCCATGGTCAGTAACCCATCTGGCAGACATTTGAGGCTGTCCATGGTCAGTAACCCATCTGGTAGACATTTGAGGCTGTCCATGGTCAGTAACCCATCTGGCAGACATTTGAGGCTGTCCATGGTCAGTAACCCATCTGGCAGACATTTGAGGCTGTCCATGGTCAGTAACCCATCTGGCAGACATTTGAGGCTGTCCATGGTCAGTAACCCATCTGGCAGACATTTGAGGCTGTCCATGGTCAGTAACCCATCTGGCAGACATTTGAGGCTGTCCATGGTCAGTAACCCATCTGGCAGACATTTGAGGCTGTCCATGGTCAGTAACCCATCTGGCAGACATTTGAGGCTGTCCATGGTCAGTAACCCATCTGGTAGACATTTGAGGCTGTCCATGGTCAGTAACCCATCTGGTAGACATTTGAGGCTGTCCATGGTCAGTAACCCATCTGGCAGACATTTGAGGCTGTCCATGGTCAGTAACCCATCTGGTAGACATTTGAGGCTGTCCATGGTCAGTAACCCATCTGGTAGACATTTGAGGCTGTCCATGGTCAGTAACCTCTTCATAGACATTAAAGTTTTTCCAGTTGTCTAATTCTGCTTGTTTAACATCATCAATGCTATTAGAAGAGGCAAGAAAAACATGATTATCACCAGTCTTTTCTTCGACTAAGTCACTGTTATCCTGTGGTGAAGCTTGAACTAATTCCCATGATGTTACTCCTGTCTCAAAATTAAGTGATTTGATTTCTTCACTATCACTGTCCTTGATATTAAACCAAGCTTTGTTCCTTCCATGCACCTTGCCCCCTCTACTGATCACGGTAGCGGAAACCCACATGTCACCACCCACAGGTAGGTATCTTATTTCCGTATGTGGTTTCAGTAAGGCAGACTGAGACACTGTCCTTAAGAGTGATCAATTGTTTGTGATGTGTTTTCTTGACTGTCATCTTCAAAGAGTTGTTCTGTATTTTGTTTTTCTACTATGGTTTCTGTACATCCATTTCCTTCCTCAATGGTACCTGTATTTTCCACTTCAGGGTTAAGAAACTCTTCACCCACTCTGTTAAGTCTGCATGGATGGACTCTGACGTACACACTGCCATGTCTGACAAACACTGTTTTTCCGTCTTGTCCTATCACCTTTCCAGGTCCTTGCCATGTTCCGTTGCGTTGATAATATACAGTTTCTCCTGGTTGGAAGGGAACACCTGATGCCCTCACTTGATGTCTCAAAGCACGTCTTATTCTCTCTGATGATTCAGCCTCAACAAAAGCTTTTCGACTACTGTGTATGCAATTCAGATGTTTGGCAAATATCTCACTCACAGTTTTCCCTTCTAATGCAGGGGGGGCGGTCAATGAGTACTGATGGCAAATTGGGATTGCATCCAAAGACTTAGCTGGTAGGGGCTGTATCCATGAACCATTTGAAGGGAGTTCTTTGCATTGGTGGCCCATACAATTGCAGTCTTCAAGATCAAGTCTTGGATTGTCAGCTAACATCTTCTGTACACAGTCATCAAGGATGGCATGATTCCTTTCATAAAGTTCCATTTTGCCAAGGGCTCTGAGCTGCTGTTGTACAAACTTGAATGTTTAGATTTTCCGCCATGTCTCTCACAATATCATTAGCAAACTCACCACCATTGTCCGGCCAAAAATTTTCCTGGAACACCAAAACCACTGCCGATCCACAGACCAAGGATTTTATTCACAATTGTCTCTGGCAATTTGTTGTAGATAACTGTTGCCAAACTAAATCGAAAGTAGCAAGATCCACCATATGTAGAAAGTATATCCCAGCTTTCCACTCCTTCAGGTCAAGTGCAACTACTTCACTGAATCTAGTCAAGCCAATGGCAAGGAAACAACAGGTTTAGGAAGAGTTTTCTTAAATTTCTTGCAGACATCACAGGTAGCAGTTACATCCTCCACGCAGATTATTCATGCTTTCTTCATAACAGCCTGCATCTTGTAAAAGAAGTGTTAATCTGTGGCTTGATGGATGTCCGAACTGTTTGTGGAGCTTGGTTACAATCTTCTTCTTTTCTTGTTCTGACTTTTCTGATACATTGAAGAAGACCTCCAACACTGCTACTGATGTGGTATTGTCAGTTAGCGAAACACAATAATGTCCTGAAGAGGTACACTGCAATTCTATTTCTTGTCCTAAAATATTTGCCCTATCATTCTCAAGGTCCAGTACAACACGGGCCTCTTTCATGGATGGTTTTCCAAGTAACAGGGGAATGTCACTGCTCACAACATCAGTTGTTATCGAACAGTTCTGTCCTGCGATTTTACATGGGAAGGTAACTTTCTTGATTGATTTCAATTTCTCTCCCCCGCCGAATTTGAAAATGTTATCACTTTCACAAACAGTCACTTTCTTGAGTTGATCCTTGTCTAAACTATTTACAAAGTCATCCAACCAAATCTCACCTGCAACTGTTGATGTACAGCCACTATCCAAAACTGCAGCATTCATGGCTTCACACATCAATACTTGCATTTCAGTTTGTTTGTTCCCTGTATAAAGTACAGCCTCTTCATTAGCCTTCATGTTTTCATAGGAATCTGGACAATCTCTTGCAAAATGGTAAATTGATTCACATATCACACACCTTTGAGGACCATCGTCTCCCATTGGATTAAGAATTCTATGTCCTCTACCCCTTTGTCTAGTATTTTGGGAAGACAAACCCAACTGTGGAGGATAATAAGCTCTCCTCCCACGCCGACCATTCCTGTTACGACGCGGTCCATATGCACGTCCCTGTGTATAATATGCTGTGGCCTGTGTTTCATCTGTCAAATACACTGGTTCAACTTTAATGGTGGGACAAGAAAAATTTGTGTTTGGCATTGACTGCTTCCCAAAGAATTTTCTTAAAGATAATGACATCTGTTTGAAGAGAGTTGATGCTTCATTGTAATCAACACCTGTGAGAACCCACTGTCGATCTTTGTGTTCTAACCCTGACCCGTCAAGCAGACGGAAAGCTAGCAGTGATTCTGGAAGTATCATATTAAACTTCTTAGTTTTGTTATAAAGTTTTTCAAATTCTGAAACATACGTTTCCATACTCATATTTTGTGTTCTTTTAAATTTATCAAAGTCACCATATACCTCATACGCTGCCGTGATTTCATCCTTCTTGTAGATTCCATCCATAAACGCAAAAGTAATTTCCATCCTTGTCACCAAGTTTCGCCGCTCCCAGTTCATTAAACACTTTGTCCCGAATGTTATCTGTTTCTGGCAGTGAAAGAGCTATTGCCGCACCCTGTTTATCTTCTGCCAAATCTGTGACTGCTTGCCACACCTTCACTTCTTCCACCCATCGACTGGAAGGCTTGTCGTCGAGAAACGCTGGGGGAATTCTGTAATTTCCAGACGCCATTTTCTTTCGGTAGACACTTCGCTTCGCTATTTCACTGTAGTTGCCCTGTCACTGGCCTGGGAACTATTAACCACGCTCTGCTACCATGTTAAGTAAGACTCGTGGTAAGAAAACACCGAGGCAAAGTTGCCAGGACATATGCTTTTATTCCTCTCGCATGAGTGAATCTAAACACAACCACGCCGGCCGGCACATGGTCCTTCACTGCCCTCACTGACACCCTTGCGCAAGCGCATGCCTCTCACGCAAAGCTACTTCCTTTCCTCTCCAGTGCTCCAGCCACCCATACGTACACATACGTTAACACCCGACAGAGTGGAGGCTACATCCGCAGATCTTCCAGACTCACTGCTTTCCTATGTCAAGCCTCACAGTGGATCTATTCGCAACCCGCTTCAACACTTAGCTTCTGAAGTTTTTAAATTATTATTTTTTTTATACACTTTTTATTTCAGTACACCAGGGTTTGTACAGCAGTATATCAAACAATATGTTTTATATAATTACATGTTCATACAGTAGCTGACAAATTCATACAGTTCCTAAAAGGTAATTATAGTGATGGACAGGTAAATAAAGAACATGCTCATACAGTAGTATATAAAGCAAACACCGTATAAAGTTACCTGTTTTGATGAAGAACGTGTTCATACAATGGCATATAAGTTCATACAATTCATACAAGGCAGCTATGCACTTCATACATGGTAGCTGTACTAATGGACAGGGTGTAATGTTTGCTTTAATAAAAAGCAAACTGACATAGGTTGATAGCCAGTTATAGTTCCAGTATTATTACAATTGTGCATATAGGTATTCCTGTTAAAATGCTTTCCCAGTACAGAGGGAGAAAGCATTAACGAGCAATACAAATTCAGGTGTCAGGTAGTGATATATCAATTTCTAGGAGAATTGAAACCATTCTGCCAATACAGGGTACATTCATGTTACTGTATAGATACAAAGAGAAGAGTTTGTCACATTGCCAAAATATCACACATGACAAGAAATGGTAATAAATAATCCGTAGTTTCAAAGGTTAATTATTAATGGTTAAACTGATGAATTTATAGTATTTTTCAAATGCAAGAGAAAAATGTCAACCAATAATAATTATACATCTCGTCATTGAGAGTTTGAATGGTCCTTACCCTAGCTGTTATAAGAGTGTGACAACATGTTTTATGTTTTCAGTGTACACCATAATACCCACAGCTCAATGATGGAAGTTGAAAGCAATCCACAAAATCCTTTCCCTGGTACTGAAACAAATGAAATCTGTTAAAGGCATTTGCTGGAAAAAAGATATCTCAAGAAACATAAATATTGATACCACTAAACTAGGTGATCTCAAGAAAGAACCCATCATTGGAACCCTGGAAACTGGTGATCTCATGAAAGAACCCATCATTGGAACCCTGGAAACTGGTGATCTCATGAAAGAACCTGTTACTGGAACCCTGGAAATAGATAGTTTGGAGAATCCGTAGTGAAACCTTATAAAAACTAGTGATCCAACAAAGCAGTCTCATACATGCACTAAGAACTGGGAAACATTTCCTAAATCAGGTGACTTATCAGTGTGCTGAATGTCAGAAAACATTTACACAATCAGCTAATCTTCAAGCACATGTGAAGATTCACAGTGGAATCAAGCCTGAAGAATGTGTTGAATGTGGGAAGAAAATTATATGCAGGCACACATGACGATTTACATTGGAATCAAGCCGTATGAATGTGGGAAAGAAATTACACAATCAGGCCATGGTGGAATCAAAGTGTATTGTGTGTGACAAAACATTTACACAAACGGTTTATCTTTAGGAACACATGAAGATTCACAGTGGAATCAAAGCTCATCAGTGCATTGAATGTGGGAAAAAGTTTACACTACCAAGTAAACTTCAGAAACACATGAAGATTCACAGTGGAATCAATCCTTATGAATGTGTTGAATGTGGGAAAAAATTTACACGTTCAAGTAATCTTCAGACACACATGAGTATTCACAGTGGAATCAAGCCTTATGAATGTGATAACAAATTTACACATTCAAGTAAGCTGCCGACACACTCGATTATTCAGAGTGGAATCAAGCCTTATGATTGTGTTGAATTTGGGAAAAGATTTACACAATCAGTTTCTCTGCAGTCACACATGAGAATTCACAGTGGAGTGAAGCCTTATGAATGTGTTGATTGTAGGAAAATATTTACACGTTCAAGTAATCTGCAGAGACACATGAGGATTCACAGTGGAATGAAGCCTTATGAATGTGTTGAATGTGGGAAAAGATTTACACAATCAGGTGGTCTGACGGCACACATGAGGATTCACAGTGGAATCAAACCTCATCAGTGCATTGTGTGTGAGAAAACATTCACACACACAGGTACTCTGCAGGCACACATGAGGATTCACACAGGAATCAAGCCTTATGAATGTGTTGAATGTGGGAAAAGATTTACACAATCAGTTTCTCTGCAGTCACACATGAGGATTCACAGTGGAGTGAAGCCTTATGAATGTGTTGATTGTGGGAAAAGATTTACACATTCAAGTAATCTGCAGAGACACATGAGGAGTCACAGTGGAATCAAGCCTTATGAATGTGTTGAATGTGGGAAAAGATTTACACAATCAGTTTCTCTGCAGTCACACATGATGATTCACAGTGGAGTGAAGCTTTATGAATGTGTTGATTGTGGGAAAAAATTTACACATTCAAGAAATCTGCAGAGACACATGAAGACTCACAGTGGAGTCAAACCTCATGTGTGCATTGTATGTGAGAAAACATTTACACACTCAGGTGATCTGGAGAGACACATGAGGATTCACAGTGGAATCAAGCCTTATGAATGTGTTGAATGTGGGAGAAAGTTCACACATTCTCATAGTCTGCAGGCACACATGAGGATTCACAGAGGAATTAAGCCTTATGAATGTGTTGAATGTGGGAAGAAATTTACACAGTCAGGTACACTGCTGACACACATGAGGATTCACAATGGAATCAAACCTCATGAGTGAATTGTGTGTGAGAAAACATTTACACACTCAGGTGACCTTCAGACAGACATGAGGATTCACACATCAGTCAAGCCTTATGAATGTGTTGAATGTTGGAAACAATTTACAAGACCAGGTCACATGCGGGCACACTTGAGGATTCACAGTGGAAGTCAAGCTTGATTACTCTCTCTCACTCTCACTCTCTCTCTCTCTCTCTCTCTCTCTCTCTCTCTCTCTCTCTCTCTCTCTCTCTCTCTCTCTCTCTCTCTCTCTCTCTCTCTCTCTCTCTCTCTCTCTCTCTCTCTCTCTCTCTCTCATTTTGCCTGTGTAATCATAGTACACGAAATTACAATTAATACAAATTACTTCCGTAAAACAGTAAACTGATGTTTTCCTTCTCCAACTCCTTATTCACATACAACAAACACTTAATACATAACATGGCATGCTGTACAGTGCACCACAGTTTATTCGTTTCAGACAGATTATAAATAATTTTTACACAATATGTACAAACTACATCCATCGACCCTGAAGTTATAAGGCGCCGTCACCTTACATCGCTGAAGCAGCTACGAACCCGCCATTTACATCTTGCATTGCTCATGGCATATGCCCCCGATGACTCACGTATTCTAACGGCTCGCCAGCCTGGACATGTCCGTCCCACCCAACAGTGCCAGTCATCAGTCTGTAACATTACACGAGAATTAAACTTTCAGTATAGAACACATACATATATACGGACAGTGTATATATCCGCTCTCATAGAAATCACATCATATAGCATCAAATCAAAATGACGGCTGGTGCACCGCAGCTGAGAATGGCCTTATTCAAATTTCCCTCCCTTTTATACCTATCAGAGTGCCCTCATACTCATAGCATTACTTCCCTTTGTTGTATCTTCCGACGCTAGAGAAAAGAAATTTCATTCTAATTCGTACCTCAAACGAAAGAAATTATATTTCTCCAACTCCTTATTCACATACAACAAACACTTACATAACATGGCATGCTGTACGGTGCACCAACTGAGACATAAAGAACGGGCAGATTTACAATCCAAGCGAAAGAGACACTTTCAAACGCTTCTCAATATCATCTTTCACATAACCGTCTTTTGCATTTTTGCTTTTCCACCTGCCATGACGCTTAAACATTCTATCGGGAATGCCATTGTTTGCGGCTGCAGTAGCTCCACCTGCTCTCAAACTGTGCGGACCAAACTTCGATATATCACTCACATGTGAACTAAACACCTCAATGAAAATCTCTCTCAAACGAGAATAGGACATGGGCTTATTGTCAGCTCTCAAAATGTAACCATTTTTAGTCTTACTCATATTTCTGAATATAAATTCAGGATCTTTCACTTTGGTAAGCTTAAAATATCGTTCCAACCATTCTACAGGGCACATATTTGTACCTGTCCGGCCTATGATAATCCAGGCCCCATCTCTATAGACATCAGTTTTTGACTTCTGAATAAACACAGCCATGTAAGCTTGACAAAATACTACATCACTCCGAGTTATCGCTAATAACTCCAATGATCTCATGAAACCTGATTAAGCTAACAACCACATTACAACAGTTCTCATTTTGTACAATGAGCATTCCTCAGCATTGTCTGGTACAATCTTATTCAACAACTCAACTGTTATAGGCTCTTTCTTAGAAACAGGCTTGGCTAACTTCCTCTTAGCTGTTTTTTCAAATACGTGGTTTACTAACGTACTCTCTGTGGGGCTTTCTAAACCAACTAAAACATGGGCATGTCTCAAGTTATAATAAGCTGTCTGAACAGGTGAGAAAGTCTCACTTTGCTGACACATTGCTAACAAATATAAAGAACAGTGCAAAGGTGATACTGGCATATCTGTTGTACCCTGGGCCAAAGCCCACTTCTTCCATGCTTTAAAACCATAATCATACTTCTTATTTGTGGAGTTTGCTCTCGAGCAAGACAAATGCTCTGGAAGACTTCTTACGAGCGCCCTCATAGGTGGAGGTAAAGTCAGTATCTCACTTTTATATACATGTTCAAACACACCTGCAACACGCAAACAACATCATCAGAATATCACACGTAAAGCCATCATGTTGAAGTTTAAATCGTTCACTCCAAACAACCCTCCAAACTGTCTGCTTGGTACATATGCCTCCTTACAAGTCGGAAGATACATCCAGTCTTTAACTTGAGGTATAAATACCTTATTAGGAAACAATATAGGCCAGAAATTCGCTGAATACCATACAGGAATCACGATAGTTCCCTTAGCGTGACACTCCCTCATATGCTTGAGAACACGTGCAATCAAAAACACAGGAGGCACTATCCAGTTATTGTCTTCACCCCAGGACATAGATTAAGCATCCATTCCGTCACTTCCTTGGTTCCAAAATCTTGAATTAACCTTACAACCTTAGTATTGTAATATGACGCAAATCTGTGAACATCAAATGGGCCCCATTTGGCAGAGACGCGTTGAAACACGTAATCCTGGATACCCCAGTCGTCGGCATCGACTATCTTACTCAGATAATCAGCACGCTCATTTTCTAACCTTGGTATCCACTGCATGTCAACTCTGATATTATATTCATTGCACAGCTTGAATATATCTAGAGCCAAAGCTTGAAGATCGACTTTCATGCTACCTTTCGACACAATCGACTCTATCACATTTTGATTGTCAGTTACAGTTACGGGACTGTTACAGTAGAAGACAAAAGTTCTGCTATACTTGGCTTAAGCTTAGTTATTTTCCGTTGAGGAATATACAACTTCATTTGTCTTGTATCTATGATAAAACCTAACCATTTGATCTCTTGAACTGGCTTCCATAGGGACTTTTCTACTTTTGGTACAAAGCCTGCTTTTGACAAGTCTTGCTTGACAAGTTGGCCAACAGCTGCCGTTTCACATTCGGAAAAACTTGAAAGGATACCATCATCTAGAAAAGTAACAATCTTGTAACCTTGGAAACGCCGAAACTTTACCAACTGTCTGGTAACCTTAGTAAACACATAAGGTGCTGTACTCAAACCAAAAGGGAGGACAAGAAATTTAAAATACTTCTTGTCTGTTCCTGAACCCCATACAAATCCTAGAAACTGCGTATGTTCATGGTAGATATCAATATGGTGATATGCAGAATGGATGTTGAATTTCAATAGCGAATCATTCTTTTCAGTGTACAACAATCTGTCATTTGTAAGGCCAGGTTCAACAACGTTTACAGTATCATCACGTAATGTATACTCAACTTCAGGTTCTGCTTCCTTGGAACGTATCCTACTCTCTGTCAAGCTTCCCGCGTTGCTGAGTTGTGTTGTTAAGCAAGGGACACTGACGTCTCCAGTGGTTGAAGTTGCCACACATGAAGCACGCTCCTGACCTTTGACCACGGCCACGAAAATTATTAGACTAGTCACCAGCATGAGAATCCGTTGAAGCTTGAGTGACTGTCGAGGAAGGACGATGGATCGACTTGTAAGGATGCAATCGTGCGGAACGAGATGCCCTTGTCTTGATTTTCTTAATCGCTTTGCTTTCCGCTCGGTTGATTCTTTTGTCATCATCAGAATCTGACGCCAATTCATGAGCCACATAATTGCGCACTGTTTCCCAGCCCCCCTCTGAGGAATCAGCTATTTTTATGTGTTTATTTCTTCTCTGGAACCTGGAAACTTCTTGACTTCTCAATTCCAAGGCGTAATCAGTCTTACCATACTGAACAGCAAAACGCAACTGTTCTAAGTTTTCCAGAGCTTCGGAATTGAAAGCAAACTGAATTTTGTTCCCATACGTCTCGCCGAACCACAGCCCACGGCTTCCGCCCATTGTACTTCGATCTCTGTATGACGATGAGTTAAAGCATCCACCCTGGATGCTATTAATACAGTAATAGCTACGAGTACTGGTACAAAGATTTCTATGGTACCTATTGAGCTCAAGTCCCTATTGTGTTCCTACAAACTGGCAGATCAGTCGAGGAAATTCCATCCCTGGCTTAGGATTTGTCAATCGTCTTATGACATCTGGTCTCTGATGATTGTGACCCTTTGGCTCAACAGACTATAGAGCACATCACCTTTAAAACATTCTTCCTGGTGGCGTTAGCCATGCCATGCTCGCTCCAGCTCTCAATGTTAATCGAATTTGATTTGAGAAGGGGACACATAGATTTTCTTGCACCCTCGCTGGGATTTCATTGCGAAGAATCAATTGCCTAGTCAATCAGATCGGCTGTTCACCATCCAACCATTTATCTACCATACTGGGGCCAGATGACACTGATGACCTTTGGCTTTGCTTTGTCGGAGCTCAGAAAATCTACATTGCGGCTTCACAAGACCGGCACAGGCTGTGTAAGCAGTTTTTTTATCCCACTGTCTACGGCCTCTTTTGCGGAGGTTTCCCTACGACTTTAACTGTTTGGATGAGGTCGACCATCCTACTGGCATTCAACTTCGCCTGTCTCCCTCCACCAGCGGCATCAAACCCAAATGAGACGCGAGCCTTAGTGTCCACAATGGGGCTACACAGTAACTGCTCTTTGATCTCCATTATGGAGGGCTGTTCTTGGTGGTCTGAAACAGTCTTCGTCTCTCACTGTGTTCATGATTTCTTAGTGATGGACGTACTGGGTCTCTATCAGTCTGGCCCCTTAGTCAGCAATTGTCATCGGTCCATCAGCATTGTGAAAATGTTGTGCTACTTTGTAAATAAGCGAATTGTACTATGCAGAGGCGTTCGACACTCATGCCTACTGACCTTTACTCCTGTGAGCAGTTACGTCAGTGAAGTGTGAATACAGAATTCCAGTGGATTTCGATGTGTCCCCACTCCTAGGTTGCAGGACACATCCTTGACTAAGTTTATGTAAGGGAATGAGGGTCTTTTGATGTCGTTCTGAACTGAACATTAAACTAGTTGAGCGTAACGAGCCATGTTTCCTTTTGTGCATGAAATGGGGCATGGTTTCGAAGTAACGGTCTGCCGAGATTAGTGTTGCAAGTTTCTTTTCTGATGAGGTCAATGGTATACAGGGCATGAGCTCTGTCCTTTTCCTTGTACAAAATTTGCGGCGGAAAATGACATTTACTCGGCAGCGCCCATTGCCTTGGAGTTTTTGTGCCAAAGGGTTTGGAAGAAGCAACTCATCACAAATATAGAAGTTATATAGTCAATCCTAGATTGCACCTCCTTGTGTACCATCACCACTTCACACGACTCATCTA